CTGATAGTTTGGTCTCTAGTTGTCCATAGAGTCTTCCAGAAAAATAAAAAAGAGGCAAGACCTGAATTCTAATGTAAAAGATAAACGGGGTGGGGATGGGGAACCTCTCCCAAACCTAATGTTTATATCAATCAATCAGCAAAGAAGGGCAGGGCCCCAGCTGTGTGGGGGATTCAAGGTGATACATGGCCCAAAGTGAGTAAAAGCCAGTGGGGCCTTAGAAGACCAGCCCTAGTTCCTGGATGGCATTTGCAGGTGAGAAGCAAAGTTAAGAGCTCACTGAATTGTTACGTTTGTGTTCCCAGATGCATCACCAGGTCTTTCTATCGGAACGCCGTGGGAGTGCTGCTGGTGTTCGACATGACCAACCGTAAGTCCTTCGAGCACATCATTGAGTGGTACCATGAAGTGGCCAGCATCCAGATTATGGAGAAGGTCATCTTCCTCCTCATTGGCCACAAAAGTGACTTGAAGTCAGACTGCAAAGTCTCCACCGAAGAGGCAGAGGGGCTGGCAGCCTCCCTGGGCATCGGCTTCATTGAAACGTCTGCCAAAAGCAACACCAATGTGGACTTGGCCTTTGAGATCTTGACCAACACCATCTATGAGGCTCTGAAGAACAAGGAGATCGATCTGCAGGAAGGCTGGGATGGGGTGAAGGTGATTCACAAGAGAACCTGCAACCCCCAGAAGAAGAGGCGAAAACCGCAAGAAAAATGCCAATGCTAACCCAGAAGTTAGGGACTAGGACCTTGCGTAGGGGATGGAATTGGTGGAGGAGGGACTGGATGAGCTGATTCAGAAATAAATTAGGGATGGGCCTGAGATGCGAAGTTGGAGGTTCAGGGGGAGGGGAGTTCAGTTTGTCTCTAGGGAAAATAAAAACCTCCAGGACTTGCTTTCACCCATTGTAGATGAATTCCATCGGAATAGTAAGAAGTGCACTACTGCCCCCTTTAGGTGGAGAACAGGGAATCCAGGACCAGTGACACAACACTGACTAGCTGCTAGAGGCTCTCTCTTGGTTCTGAGCAGGGGAAATCCCTTTTATTACACTGCAGCACTGGCTCTCAGACTTTTTAATGTTTTTTTTAAACTGAATCTTAGGACTAAGAAAATCTTTAGGAATCTAGGAGTGCAGCTCTTAAAACATACATGTGCACGTATCAAATACCCCGAACAATTGAGCCAGTCAATGGGGCCTTGAGCCTTAGTAGGGTCCCCGGAGTAGTACTGCATTACAAGGGATCAAATCCCCAAATCCCTGCTTTATTGAAGCATCCCAGAGACTTCAGCGTTACAAAGAAACCGCCATGGCCTGGTTTTGGGTGCCTAAGGACCACGGTGAGTAGAAGAATTCTCAGGACATGAGGAAGCCGATGAGATGTTGCCAGAGGGTGGAATTCAGTTGCAGTGCTCAGTGCAGAGGGGTGAGATTCACCCCTTTGCAAAGGGCCAGTCTCATGCTTAGGCACCCATTTAATGAATTTGTTAATTGTAGAATAAATTGCTCAGTTTCCAGTGTAATGCTATGCTATTCGGTCTAGACGGAGGAGGCCTTAAAAGGACATTATTAGTATTCCCCAAAGATCAGGGCCCCATTGTACCATGTGCTATACCAACATATAGTAAAAGACAGTCCCTGCCCAAAGGGGCTTGCAATTTAAATAGTTAAAGGGGCAAGAAGGGAAACTGAGGCACAGAGCAGGGCCATAGATTCGAGTGACGCTGGAGCTGATTTTATTAATTCAAATACAAGTATTACGCTGCCATGGATTTCAATGGCATAGCCTGGATCTAAACAAGAGTGACATTACGGTACCATCTTGCATCTAGCTAGAAAAATCCCAGTTCTGTTCCTCCCTAGCCAGGCATACTGCATCTGTCACAAATCAAGCAGGTATTAAACTTCCTAGGTGAAATCCTGGCCCATGGGAAAACTCCCGCTGACTATGTAGCACCAGGATTAAACCCCAGTGTATTTACAGGTGTATGTTATTACTGTTTGTGGGTGTGAAGCTGTGCTACATACGGACTAGTGCAACCCTGCTACTCACATGTCTCCAGCGTGTATGGATTCTTCATTACAAATAAATCGTTTCCTTTGTATGATTTGGTGCTTCCTTCAAGATTGGGGGTTAGGAAGGGAGAAAACTGTGCCAGATTATACAGCAAAAGGTCTTCTGCTGATGCTCTGCACTTCTGTGGCTCCATTTTACCCGAGGATCTTAAAACCGTCAACAGTTTTTAACTAATGAGGCCTCACCCCTCTCCTGTGAAGGGTGGAAATATTACGTTCATTTTATAGATGGGCAAACTGAGGCACAATAAAGTCCAGGGACTTGCTCAGAAGAGTGGCAAAGCCAGGAGTCCTGATGTCTAGGCCACCTTCCCTATTCATTAGGCTGCACTTTATCCCCCTTAAAATAGTTTTAAACTTTCAGTTTAAATTAACAGTTCTTTCCTGGGATAAAATAATCCAGTGGCTTTCAGCTTTTCTAGACGACTGTACCCCTTTCAGGAGTCTGATTGGTCTGGCGTACCCCCAAGTTTCACCTCACTTGAAAACCACTTGCTTACAAAATCAAACGCAAAAATACAAAAACGTGTCACAGCCTCACTATTACTGAACTATTGCTGACTTCCTCGTGTTACCATTATAATTATAGAATAAACCAATTGGAATATAAACATTGTACTTACATGGCAGTGTATAGTATATAGAGCAGTATAAACAAGTCATTCTATGAAATTTTAGTTTGTACTGACTTCGCTGGGGCTTTTTAAATGTAGCCTGTTGGAAAACTAGGCAACTATTTCGATGAGTTGATGGACCCCCTGGAAGAGCGCCGTGTACACCCAGGCGTCCCTGGTTGAGAACCACTGAGCTACTCTGTCAGCTCTGTTTTTCTATTGTACCCAGTCTAGCGATCACATTTCTTATAAAGCCACCCAGGGCCGGGTCCAGGGTTTTGGCCGCCCCAAGCAGCCAAACAAAAACAGCCGCGATCGCGATCTGCGGCGGCAATTTGGCAGGAGGTCCTTCACTCTGAGCAGGAGTGAGGGACCGTCCGCCGAATTGCCGCCGAACAGCTGGACGTGCCGCCCCTCTCCGAAGTGGCCTCCCTAAGCACCTGCTTGGTAAGCTGGTGCCAGCCCTGAAGCCACCACTGCAGTATCTGGGCCCATTGGTGTTTCAGTTCTGCAGTAATCACATGATTTTGCCTGGTTAATGTGTCACTGGAGATAGGGAGGTAATTGTGGGGGGGACTGTAAGACACTGTTCATTCAGGGGAGTCCTAGGGTCTGGGTTATACAGATGATCAGACTAGTGTCATAGGGGAGTTTAACCAACAGATCATCTTTGATTCGGTTTGTAGAACATCCTGCTGTTTGGTGGGTTGGCAGCCACAGGAATTGAACCTATGAACACCGCATCTTGACCCATGAGCTGCTACTGCCGGAGCTAAAAGGCTCTGCTCTGTTAAACTTATAGGAGGGGCATCAACCTGCACATGTGTAGGCCAGACACCACTGGCAGGAGAGGGAATAGCGCCACCACATGGCGTAGGTGTGGGTTACGTCTGCTTGACCCCAGTGAGGAAGAGTCTGTCACTGCAGCCTGATCTGATGTTTTCAAATCTTTGGGGTGAACCCGGGCTCAGATCCGAGTGAAACTGGAGCTGATTTTATTAATTCAAATACAAGTATTATGCAGGCCAATCAGCCACCAGGCATGTCTGGCATCAATTCACACCCAGCTGCAATATCAACGCTTGGTCTTTGGAGTCAGAGTGCACAAGGCATGAATGAACGCGACTCAATACGTGCCCTGTCATGTCTTGTTGCTTAAACATTCTCCCAAGGGAAACCAGTGGCTCTGACAACAGATCTCTGCTTACCCCAGGGGCTCAGCTCATGCCCAGCTTGGCTGCAGCTGGGCAGGGAAGGAAATGCCTTTAAAAGTGAATCCTATTAAGTGAATGGGAAAGTCTTTTAAATATTCTCTATAATAGCATACTAAATTGTAGTCCATCTCTAGGGCCTTCCAGTCAAAGAGCTCAAACCCTTTATAGACAAACCCTTAGTCCAAATGTAATCTGGAATAAAGTAAGGTGGGGATTTAAAACAGATTAAGAGTGTCCACACACAGGATTAATCAGGAATAGTTATTCTGGAATAAGTGTGTCTACACACAGGGACATGTGTAGGTTTTGGGGGGCCCAGGACAATATCTGACACGGAGGTCTCCCACCCTTCCCCAGGGGGCCAGGGTGGTGGTGATTAGCCAGCGAATCCGCCCTGCACTCACCCCACAGAGACAGCGCCTGTCCCATGGGGCCAGGCCCAGCTCCCCATTGTGGGTGTTGTGACCTGCCACACAGGACCACAGCACTGCCCAGGTTTGGCCCAGCCACCACTCCGTCATGAAGGGGGTGGGGGCATGGCTGGGCCAAATTTGAGAGAGTGGTGTAGGACCGGGGGCACAGAGGCACAGCGTTACTCAGCACCCCAGTGGCTGGGCCAAGTCGAAGTGGCACTGACATCCCATTGCACCAGGTCACAATGCTGCCCACTCATACTCCATGGGTTTGGAGGCCCTCTCAGATGGGAGATCTGGGACAAATTGCCCCTTTTGCACCCCTCTCTGGACAGCCGTGTCCACACATAGCATTAATCAGGAACGGATATGCTGGAATAGCTCCCCGGGACAGTAGACAAGCTCTGAGCCTCCCACAGGTCAGTACTATCATCTGTATTTCACAGGAGGAAAAACCGAGGTGCAGTGACATGCCCAGAGACAGATAGTGGCAGGGCCTGGAGTAGAACCCAAAGTCACCAGACGCCCAAACCTCACTAGTTACAAGGCCCCTACACATAATCTAATCTTCTAATCTAACCTAATGCCAAGGAGATGCTTCCTCATCACAGCGTTTTGCATCTGTTTTGCTCGTTCCTTTCCTCTGACACACAGGACCCAGTGTTACTGAGCAGATAGACAGTCCTGACGGCCAAATGTAGGAGCAATACAGTCTCTCTGCCTTCCCCTGCTATAAACACCACGCACTCAGCGGGAGGGGTGGCAGCTGCCTGCCTGGACATGAGCTAGAGCAGCTCTCAGCTGGAACCATCTCGCTCCACTTCCAGCAAGTCCCAACCGGCAGTGCCGTGTGAGTTCACTCTCCAGCCCGCAGACGCTCGGCTCCAGGCTCCTTGCGGCTCAGGGGCTGCCTTGTCCCGCTGGGATCCTCCGGATGGATTCGCTCTGGCACTACCAGTTCCGCATTATCATGCTGGGGGACTCGACGGTGGGGAAGTCGTCCCTGCTGAAGCGATACACCGAGGGCGCCTTCCTCGACTCCATCAACCAGACGGTGGGGGTGGATTTCTACGTCCAGTTTGTGGAGCTGGAGCCCGGGCTCCGGATCAAGCTGCAGTTCTGGGACACGGCTGGACAGGAGCGATTCAGGTGGGTTTGACAGGGGAGGTTTAGACGTACGTGCAAGCGTGAGGACAGGACAGAGCCGGAGCCAAGGAAGGGAGCCGGAAAGTTGCAATGGGGATTAATACAGGTGCAGGAAACTCCAGGCTGGAGCGCAGGCTGTTGTTTTCTTGCTTCAACAATGCTGAGGACAGGGGCTTTGTTAATAGGCCCGGAGACCAAAGGCCTTGGAAGAGGAAAAGCATGGGCCATGGCTCGGTTAACTTCTCCCATGCTGCCCCTTGCTGTTGTGTCTCTAGCCCAGTGGTCCCCAAATTGAGGGGGTGCAGCGGAACATTCAGGGGGGTGCAGCAGGGCCCAGGCCAGCCCCTCATGGGGGGCAGGGAGGGAGCACCACCCAGCTCCCGCTCTGCCCCCAGCTCTGCTCAGGCCCTGCCCCCAGCCTCAGCCCCTGACCGCAACTCCATTCCTGGCCCCAGCCCCAGACA